TCATTGAATAGTAATTCAAATATATGGACAATCGCTGCTGGTACAGGTTGTGCTGGATCAACATCAAATACGCTTCATGATCCTCGCGGAATCTTTGTTGATACAGATCTTAATTTGTACGTTGCTGAATGTACTAACAATAGGGTGCAAAAATTCCTATCAGGACAAGTAAATGGAATAACGCTAGCAGGAACTGGAGCAACTGGAACTATTAGTCTCAATTGTCCTACTGGAATTGCTCTGGATGCTGATAACTACGTATTCATTGCGGATTATTTTAATAATCGTATTGTTGGATCAGGACCAAACGGGTTTCGTTGTGTATTAGGATGTACAAATGTTGCTGGTTCAGCATCTAATCAAATATATTATCCATCCAGTTTAAGTTTCGATAGTTACGGTAATATGTTTGTTGCTGATAGATACAACAATCGAATACAAAAGTTCATTGTAATTAATACTACTTCCGGTAAATATAATAAAATCTTTTTTTTTATGATTAGACAACTAAGACAAAACATTTTAAAGCTAAAATCTAATACAGAAGAGATTTCGCTTAATCAACGAATCTTGCGTATTGTGTATCAAAAATAAATCGTGAAATCTTTCCAGATGATTCAGTCCGCGTAGTCTGTTTCGGTGTTAAGATCTACTAATAGTTCAATTAACAAGAATATCTTTGTATTATCAGAAATTGTCCCATGTTTTGAAAAGAGATGGAGGAGTTCTCACTATTTTTAAATTGCGCTCCATCTTATAATAAACCTCTCACGTTTTCTGGAGTTTAAATTTCAAAACTTAACTTTTCCATTGCATTTTCATAATCTTTGCCTCAACAAATAGTACATATAATAGTAAATCTAGCTCTGATACAAATGCCAAATTTCAAGATTCACCTGTCGGATTGAGTCTTCTGTATAATGATAATTTGATTAAATCAAAATTTAAAAATATAGCATTTCCTAATTCAATCCAAAGAGATTTTCATCTTATTTTAGATTTGACTGCTAATCAACCAAATTTGTGTCCATCTACAACATGGTATACTAATGCTATTACTGTTGCTAATATCACCACCGTTGGTTATCAACCTTTAGGTCTTTTTATCAGTACTAGCAATACTCTCTACGTAGCGGATATACAAAACAGTCGCGTTCAAATGTGGCGAGAAGGAAGTGTGAATCCTGATAAAACTATTTCTGGTGGTTTGAATCAACCGTTCAGTGTTTTCGCTATAGCTTCGGGCGATATATATGTCGACAATGGGGCCAGTAATGGTCGAATCGATAAATGGTCCGTAAATGCAAATAGTAGTGTTCCTTTTATGACAATTCCCAACTACTGTATTAGTATTTTTATTGACATTGAAAATACTCTGTATTGTTCAGTGCCTAGTAATAATCAAGTTGTTAAGAAATGGTTATATGATAACATGACTACATCAACTATTGTTGCTGGTACGGGCACTGCGGGATCGGCTGCAAATATGCTTAATTTACCTTATGGAGTCTTTGTTGATGTTGATATTAATTTATATGTTGCAGATTGCTCCAATAACAGGGTGCAGCTTTTTCCTTTAGGGCAGACTAATGGAATAACTGTAGCTGGAAGCGGAGCATCCTCAACTATTACGCTTAGTTGTCCAAATGGAATTACATTAGATGCTAATGGTTATATCTTCATTGTGGATCAGAACAGTTATCGAATTGTTGGATCAGGACCATATGGTTTTCGATGTTTATTTGGATGTACAAGTGTTGCCGGTTCAGCATCTAGTCAATTGTATTATCCACGAACTATTAGCTTCGATAGTTATGGTAATCTTTTAATCGTTGATGAATATAATTCAAGAATTCAAAAGTTCATTGTAGCATCAAATTCATGTAGTAAGTTATTTGTGATTTATGTTTTCAATGATCTTAATTTATTTATTTTAGGTCTGTCTTATAGTCAACCGACATTTTGCTCAAATGCAACATGGTCTGTAAATGCCGTAACTTTTGCATCAAGTAGTACAATTGGTACATTACCTTATGGTATTTTTATTGATGGAATTAATACTGTATATATACCTAATCGAGTTAGTAATACTATTTTATCATGGCCTCAATGGAGTACTTCATCTACAAGTAAAAGTTATAGTAATTTGAGTAATCCATTTAGTCTTTTTATGTCTATTAATGGTGATACTTATATTGATAATGGTTATTCATATGGTCGAGTCGATAAATATACATATAATACATCAATTCGCGTTACTGTTATGAATGTTAATGGAAGTTGTTCTGGTTTATTTATTGATATTAATAATAATCTCTATTGTTCCCTCAAAAATCGTCATCAAGTTGTTAAACTCTTACTTAATAATGGTACAACCATTCCGACAATTGCAGCCGGAAATGGTTCTGCTGGATCACTATCAAATATGCTTAATTCTCCTCAAGGAATCTATGTCGATAGTGATTTAAATCTATATATTGCAGACTGTGCTAACAATCGTATTCAATCCGTTCAATCTGGTCAGTTAAATGGAGTGACCATTGCCGGTAATGGATCATCAGGAAATATTGCACTCAATTATCCGACTGGAATTGTCCTTGATTCTAATGGTTATCTTTTTATTGTCGATAGTTATAACCATCGTATTGTTGCTTCAAGTTATTATGGTTTTCGATGTATAGTAGGATGTTCAGGAGGTGGTTCAACTGCGTCTCAATTATCTTTTCCACAAAGTATGGCTTTTGATAGCTATGGAAATATATATGTCACGGATCGAGATAATAGTCGAGTACAACAATTCACTCTTCAAAACAACAGCTGCAGTAAGTTTGTTTGTGTATAATAGAACATTATGAAATTGTAGTTGATAATTCATTTTTTT